TACAGCAGGCGGTGCATGAGTGGTTGCGGAGACAACCACAAGAATTTTTTTCTAGAGGAATCCATACACTTCCTAAACGCTGGAGGGCCCGTATTGAACGAAATGGAGACTATGTATAAAAATGATATAGTTGTGTACCGCTTTCACTCAATAAATTAAATTAAAAAAAATTATGGTTTTCATTTGACTGACCCTCGTATAAGTTATCTAAAATACACACGTCTTGTACGTATGCACAACAAACCCGCTCTGCTTACGTAATATTTTATTTCCCACAATTCATGAAATTTCAAAGAAAAGGAACTAATCATTTATTGAAAACCTGACGTTTTCGTAATGGTATTTGCAGAACCATGTTGATTAAGCTGATAAAAACAATATACTGAGAACAGCTGTTACCGCGACTACTGAAGTGCGAATGAAGGATTATGCACATCAAACGAAGTTACAACTATAACAGACGATTTAAAAATATTCGTGGTATTATTCCGACATTTTCTTTAAGGGATTGTCCAAACACTCGAAGAACCTCAATCAGGATAGAAGATAATTTGCCGAAATTCGAATTGGATGCCCACCAAACGCAAATGCAGAGCGTCACAACTACACACACAATCGCGCTCCGTAGCGTCTTTTTATTAAGATAACAATGGCGCAAATAAATAATATGTGTATATATAAAAATTCATGCTTTAATTACGTGAACATAATAAATATATGCATAAAGAGGAACAAAGCAGGATTTTTTAAAAATATTACAAGTGGAAAAGTTGTTAAAAATGTTAGTCACATTCTTGCAATGTAAATCAACTCTGAAACTGAGCTGAGAAATTTAATAAGTTGTATTAAATTAAGAACGAATAAAATTTAATTAAACACGCATTCAATAAATGGAAAATAAAACGGTAAATGAATCACCTATCTTAACAAATGGGCAACGGCATACTTTCGGAACTTATTTTTCAACAGAAACTAAATGAATATAGGGCTAGTGGCAATAAAGTCGAAACAGAGTTCAACTAATTTCTGAATATCAGAAGAAGAACAAGATTTTGTTACTGTTGTCAGAATTATTTGAATAAGCAGTCTAATTTATATATTCTTGCTATTCAAAGTAAGTGCGCTTACTGCTTCAATTTGACAAGATTTAAAATTGACAACTCGAAAACTTGCCTCAGCGTTGAAAACTGACCGGTCGATGCTGTCTGATTTGGAAAGATTGCGGGCCAGTATTTGCTACTTCCAAATTTCAAAAGACATACATATTATTTATGTAACAATATATTAGTTTCCATTGTTAACTACAATTTATTTTCAGGGGTGCACATTCCACAAATATATTCCACGTTTTAATTAACAAACCTAATATTAAAACAGACGGCTTAACATTTCCTGCCCTCAAATAACGTATGCGTATTCACTGCCTGTGTACTCAAATTTGGATTATTCTTCAATGTTATTTATTCTCAGTGTCTGTTCTGTGTACCTAGTGGAAGTAATCAAAAGAGGAATTGTAGCGTGGAATATACGGATAATTCATAAAATATAAACCGAAAAGAACTTTAAAGGAAGTGGTCGTGGACAATATATATTATCAAAGAATTTTCCTGGAGGGGCTGAGAAAAACCTCGGGCTGCACAGCCGGTCCCCCATGCCAAAAATCAACCACGGGATGTTTCGAATACGTACCATGATTTCCAACTACTCAGTCTTCAGGTTTTCGTGGCCGAAATTCAAAGCATAACTTTGGCTTTCGGGGGATGAATGTTGAATGCTACTCAACGTTTCGGCAGACGCTGCAGTTACAATCTTCATGTCCGAAAGCCGAAATTGCGCATTACTCAGCCACAACTTTTGATGAAGTTTAACTTTCAGGAACGTTGTAGTTCTACACATCCAGCTCAGAGAAAGGTTGGTCCACGCGTCTCTACACTGGCTTGTAAAAGACAACTGAACTCACCTGTGTCAGTATCACCAGGAACACCGAGGCTGTCCGAGTTGTCATTGATGAAAGCCTCCGTGGAGCTGGTGAATGTTTGCGGGGACAACGTCAGATCTTGGCCACTCTCAGAGTCGAACAGATCGAAGGATGCGGTGTTGCCCCCATTACCTGCAACAACAACATATGTTACATTATAACTATTCATGGGCATTGCATTAACGATACAACATAACCTAAGAGATGTCCAATTTTTCTGCAGTCTGAGTGCTGAAGAAGTAACGGATTTCCTGGATAGAAGTGGGATGAATCACGGCCTAAATATTGCTAACGGCCGGTTGAACTACGGATTAGACTAGATCTTAGTACGTGCCCGATCATTAGGATACTGCTAAAAAACAAAATTAAATACAAGAATCATGTAAATTTAAACATCACATTTGGCGTTCGGCATTTGCATATTCCACACTGAAAATACATCAAAAGATCCTACAGTTCACAGTTTAGTGTAATGTGTCTGCAAGACAGATATCTGTATGCAAAGTGTAATACTCGTATACCAATAATATCTCGTTAATTGACACTATAATGTATGTATAATAAAAATAAGGCAATATAACAATCTAACTATTTAAATTTCAGTACAAAATCTATTACACAACACTTGATTTATTGATGATTACGGCTCAAATTAATTGTGGACTTAGATCACTTTTACTCGAAAGAAAAGGCAACAAGACCACTGTTGTGAGCCAACAATGACTTCGGTTCCCATTAATCAGACTTACGACAAGGGCCTTGGCCCCAATGTTGCAACTGGCTGTTCCAACAACGGCATAGATTCTCACTGTTGCGTAACAATGTGCTACAACTACTTCGGTTTCCGTTGTTCCAATTACGATCCGGGGTTGCCTATAGTGCTTCCAGATATAAGAGTGATGTATTGCGCTTGTGGCCGTAGTGTTGCAATATTTGCTAAATGCGCGCGGTGTTCGTTTGGTAGAAGCAAAATTATTCACTCTGTTGAAAAACACAAATTAATCTTCAAGAAATCACCGTTAAAACACCGACACCTGCTAACTTTTCTTTGGATAGCACAGTACTGTACTCCAAATCACCACGTACACAAGCCATGCAACTGCTGTAGTGGCTGTTCATTCTACCGTACACTATCCCGATAATCACAAAATAAAAATACATTACACTGGATGAAATTTAAACAAATTGCTTAAAGTACATTCTTACGAAACACAGTCTTACTGCAGCTCTCGGTTTTGTAAATTAAAACAAATCCATGGGGGGGGGGCGGAAATGGAAGTAAAAGCTCATAAGGACCCATGATTCACCCTTATATCTGGACGGTTTATAGTTCTTAGAGAAAATGCGACACAAACAGATATGGACACCTTCGCTCATTTTAAAGAGTGAAGAAAAATGTCTAAACATGGAAATATTTTTGGTCGAAAATGTACCACAAGTGGTGCAATTTCGATTAACACATTTTCCACATACGAAAGTCTTTTTTTGAAGTACCAACACAAATTTTATGATACCATGTCCATGATACACAACAACTAATCCAATCATGGGACATACATAAACTCAGCTTGCTTCTTCTTGGAAATGCAATTATGAAGCACAGTACTGCAATGATTGACGTTTTTGCTCTGTAAATAATAAGGTTGGTTACAGCACATGAAAACAAGAAAGACTGAAATTATGTCAGAACATGGCAACCCTACGCTAAATCACTGGAGATATGATCTTACCATAACGACAAAAGCGATAAGTCAACTTCAATCCATTGTTTAATTAACTGTCAACAAACGAGAATGCTTGAGTGATTACTACACACTCAACAGCTGTGATCAACAAGTCTGATAATGTTGACAATTCAAATTACCGAACATCCAATGATTAATCTTCGACGTAAAAAGCCTTTTTTCTTCTGCTGTGCATAAGGCTGCCATGATACCATCATGTACGTGTCTGCATAACAGGTCATGCCAGATCAATTCACTTACCTTTCTATTATAACACACCTTTGCGTGTAGGCGAATTTAATTAATATAAAACTGTTCTACATAGCCGATGCAATTAGGCTATATAAATGACTTATACATTAGAAGTGTAAGACAGAATTATAATTAACTACGACTTCATCATCATAATTGTATGACGTATCATAAACGTCTTTACTAGACATTTCCAATGTCTAGGTTACGAAAGGAGTAACTGGAATTTGTCTATGCATGGATGCAAATTACAAAATGTAACTTCCGAAATGTTGACGACACAAAAAATGGAAATTTCGGATCTACGAAGTCGACTTCACAAGTATTTTAAGTCATCTTGGAGATTATACTGTTCATTAACTCTCTTTACAGTATCAAACATTTCTATAACTCTCTACTGTGTCCATTTACTGAAACTGAACTTAATTTCTTAGCAGAATCCTTCGTCAAATGCGTTCTGTCCGTTGGTTAAATGATTCACCGCTTCTGAATTAATTCTGGGGCGATCCCTTAAGAGCTTGGAACCTGTAACAGGCAAGAGAGAAGAATCCCCATGAACTCACTTGGCGTCGTATTTGATAATTTTCTCATGTGCCCCAGCAAAGTTTTAGCACTAGCAAAGGGAAATTTTCCCCAGCTACCAACCGATAGAGGAAGTCCTAAGGGGGAAGTCGATCAAGCTTTTTGGGCAGGCAAATTACCCTCTATATTTCACTGGAAACTGAAGTTTTGAGTTTAGTCTATGAAGTTATACCAGTGTACAAAGAATCTTCATATCGGTTCTGAGAACAGAGTCAACATTACAGATGTCTGAAAGTTATCTTTGTAAGAAACCCAAACTCCAAGCTTGTGATTCGGATTCGTATGAAGTCCGCAAAACAAATCTGCAAGACATTATGATTTACTAAGCCGGTAAGATTCAACTCTGTAGTAACGCATTTGGCCTTATTCGGCAAACCCCTGGTTCAAATCTCAGCCGGGAAACAGAACTTAACTGATGAGGTTTTCCGTAGTGTTCTTCAGTGCCTCGAGCGAATGCTGGACAATACCGTAACGTAGGCCCCAGACTGATTCCTTCCACATTCTTCCAAAATTTACATTTATAATGACCTTCTCGTTTCTAAGTCACCGCTACGTAACTTAAGCGTTGACAATGAGTCGCAAATAAAAGACGAAACAAGACCATAATACCTAGTAAAAACTTTGTGGTTTAAGAAAAGTAACAATTAAATAAACCATATGTACAGTATTATCAGTAATGATCATCGACGTTACGTAATTTACGTAGCTGAGCCTGTATATCTAAATAAGTCAGCGATCAATTAACATAGGTTACTTTCTAGTACGTGGCAAAATAACTGCATATAATGACCAATAATTATTTTTTTCTTTCAAACTAAAATGAATGCGTTAAAATATTATCACTGCGTGTATATAATTTACAGAATATGTAACTTTCCTTCTAAAGGCGTAGTCTATTGCTGGTAACATGTGGATCCCAAAGTCCATAGAGAGTTTCTGCCAAGAACGTCTTCGATAAGGATGTAAGTGGTTGTAACAAACACCCAATTTCACGAGGCTTTAGTATTTGCAGTTCCTACAACGGAAACTGCCGCAACACGCGGATGGCGTTACATCGGTCGCACGTGCCTTAATGTGCTTACATAACAAACGTCCAGGGCATTTATTACGCCAGGTACGCGAACTGGAGGTGACGGATCAGTGGCATGACCCGACCTCAATCCGGTGGACTTTTGTGGGTCTACATGGAAACAAAGCAAGAGTCTGCTTCACTCCACAGGGGTCGAGTTCAGAATGTCCTCTTGCAAAATGCAAGTCGTACGCGGGACATCAGTGCTCCTGGAACCAGCGTACACATTCATCATGCGCCGTGCAGAGACATGTAACAGCTGTTATGCGTCATTTCCAGCAGTTTCTCTACGAAACGCTTTGACATTCTTCATGCGCCGTGCAGAGACATGTACAGCTGGTATGCGTCACTTCCAGCAGTTTCTCTACGAAACGCTTTATTTTAATCTAATAGATACTAAGGTAATACAAAATAGTTCAATTAGTTTCGCATCGTTAAATGGGAAAAAGTTTTGCTTCTGCACGTGCATATCGTAATCTGTTTTAAAATGTGCTGGCCATCATGAATAACGTTTGTAGTTAAGAGACTTTAAACGTATTAAGCAACGAAGCTTAGACTTCTGTATACAGTATGTAGTCTAAGTTGTAAGGCGTGAATCTAAAGTAGCGGGTGCTAATGAATAGCTGAATGACAATGTGTATAGATGATTATCCTGAAAGGTGGTCGTGCCGCGTGGTCAGTGAAAGCCAACTGTCATATTTGCATGAGCAAGCAATTAACTGCTCAACTGTCGTGCAGTAAATGGTTTGTAACTTCAAACTCTCCCTCGAAGGAACAACCAGCCTTTGTAGTACAAATCGGATGTCCGTATCGATTAAGGGAGGCGTCCTTGTGATGTAAAGACACCCCATGTAGTGATTCAAAGGTATCGCTAATCGATTATATGTCTCGCTTTAAACAGATTCCAGCAGTGACAAGTAAATTGATGTATTCCAAGGATTTTTTTATTCTATTTTGAAGAAACTAGACATATAGGCCTATAGATTTATTGATATCTTCCCCAACCGTGTTCCAAGGAAATTCCTGTAAAATTCCTGAAGCTTATTCAGTTGTGTTCTTGTTATAAGTTAATCGAACAACGTTAATAAAATAACGCTTAACGGGTAGTGAATTCTACACAACGTGGCGAGTTCCATTTGTGACGTTCGGTATTTGGTTACTGGAAACGTAGTTTTTGTATTGTAAACCAGAAAGTCTCCGTGGTCTCTGAGGATTCGGGGATCATCCCATAATGTTATATAAGCAAACACATGAACACATTCGGCCTAGCTCTCAATGGTCTTCTGTGCTGCAAACCAATTCTTTGTGAGTGTATATACGTAAGGTAGGGGGGCGGTGGAGGGGTTTCCCGTGGATTTAGCGAAGGCCTTCTTGTTTTGTTACTCCCAACCATTGTTTTTCTTACCACCGGTTTCGGGATAGAAGACAGGGAATCTCCGAACTGGATGAGAGAAGGGAAATACAACATTAAGGGATGGATAAAGAAGTTGGTAAGAAAAGAAGTGGAGAAAGGAAACTAAAAATAATGACAAAAGGCGTTTGCGCCTTTTCTCAAGAGAGTTCCCGAAAAGCAGCTTAGTTTGTCTATACAGTGAAAGCTACAGAGTACTAATGGAAGACTCCTTCCATCTTTCTGATAAGAAGAAAGAAGAATTAAGTCTAGGGTCTAAGATAAAAAGAATTCAGAGCACAGCATAGCAACATAACATGTGCAGAGTTTAAAACTAAGATCCTCAAGAATTTAAATTGCTTCGTAATAAAAACAGAACAAAAAATTGGGTAAAAATCAAGTTAGATTAAGCAATAGTACTTCTAACGTGTATTTTAAATTTTCCGGTTTATTTCTCGGTCGGGTTAGGATTTATGTGGGATTCTTCAGTTCTTGGAGCAAATTACCCAACACTAACTTCAAACAGGTCAAAACCCTGTCATTTAGAGCCCTTTTAAGGTCACTGAAAGTAATCATCCTCTAAGTTTAATGTTGTCCTTGAATAATTAAACACATAACAAAGAACGGTTTATCAATGAAGAAAGTTACGAAATCTTGGTTTATATTATTTTTTTGTATAAGACACATTGAAGATTTACTTACAGTGATAATAACTGAAAATGGTCTACGGGTCACCATAACACACATAATCTTACACATTTAAACACTGAGAGAATCTGGAGAATGACATTGGATGAAACTTATTTACCAGTGCTATACCGCCTAAAGGGGTTATTTAACGTCAAAAGTTATGAAGGAATTATTATGCCTAAAAAGAAGGTGGTTGGGGGTTCGCTGTTTCAAGGTACAATCCCGGATTTCACCTGAAGTGATATTGATAATAACGGAAACTAAATCAGGAGAGTCACTACACCCGCCAAGATCCAAACCGGGCACTCTTGGAATATAAGTCATGCGATGACATTGAACCAGCCTGCTGTACAGGATATTACTAATGGGAAGGGAAAGGGCTCCGCTATAATATGAGGTCCTAGAAACGGGTATTATGATATGACGGGGTTCGATTCCTGGCAGGGACGCTGGGGCCTATGTAACCTTATACCACTCAGCCAGTTGGTGTAAAGCAGATATAAAATTGGTATCGTCATTTCTTCCCAAGGAATAATGGTGATCGAAGCGTGAAGTTAACTATTTACCGCCGTATAAATGGAGCAACGGGAAACATATTGACTTTTTTTATGATGCCTTACCCGCGCTCATACGGCAACTTATTTTACGTCTCCGTTATGCGAGTAGCCGAAACAAATTCTTGTAAGGGAAAATTGCGTTCTCAGAATGTTACAGTTCAGTATTTTTGTAATTATAAGATGGAGATTATTAAGTAGGAAAGGAAAAATAATAAGATCATATTACACCACGTCTGTAGAAATGTTCTTCGGGATATATAAGTTAATAAGTCCCCTCTATTTCACAGACGCAAAATACAAAACCAATTTTCGTTTTAAATTTTAAAGAATTCAGTGACCTATTATTATTATGTAGCTGGAGAAACAAGACTATCGCTTTAGTTTTATACATGAACGAAAATACTTATAAAACGAACATCGGTAGCTTATCTATAATTTAATGCTTCGGATGACTACCAGTTCAGGGTTAATACTCGAACTGAGGCCTCGCCACATTTTCTAAATTGCTTTTAACTGGGCCTACCATTACATTATTAAAACGTAAAATTTACGGCCACTTTGTCTGACAAAAAAGAAAAAAGAACTATAACAGCGGTCGCTGAAGCTTATACATAATTTTTATTTGGCGCATTAGTGTTTAAAATGAACTGATATGAAAGATTCAATCTATCACGGAAAATGTTGCCAGCGAGCTACAGGCAAATAAAGAACACTACCAAATTATGAGTTATAAAAGAAAACCCAGGGAAGTCTGAACGTTACACCGACAAAATATCGTAAACCACATACATGTAAACAAATGTCAGATAAATAATCGGCAATTCTTACAGTGTTATCCTAAGCATCATTTAAAATGTGTAGCTGTGGGGTTAAAATTTAAATTAGCAATTTAGTATAATTCTGGTGCGTCCGCTGTTGTTTTGACCTCAAATCGTCACTTCATGATTCCCCTGTTATGTAGTGTTCGCAATTACCCGATGCTGTTTGCGCAGCCAAAACATGACCGTTGACCTTTCATTATGACGCCAGTGATGTCCGACTTGCCTGTGGTCAACTGTGGATTAAATGTCTGGCACTTGTCTGACTAGATGACGTCGTCATGGGGATTCCCGCACATCTTTGAATGACCGAGTCTGATTGGTTAATTCTCCAACGTGGTTTCAAGGCTACTTCCGCGCGCAGTAAACTCGTGTAAATTCTCTTTTATTTTTGCCCTGTTTTAACCAAACTGGTATGTAACCGCAATACAGTATTCACTATAAAATTTCGTATGAGGTAATTGGGTATCAGATGACGAGAAGACTAGTGACAAAGTTAAAGTCATTAGAAACGCCATGTGTAAGAGATACGAATTAGGGAGCCAGAGAATGTAGGTCATGACAATTAGCTCTTTAAGTTATTCTATCTGAGCTTGCATTCTCCATAAAAGATCACCTTCTCTCCCCAGTTTTACAAATGAGACGAAGCAGCGGACATCAGGCAAGACTGAGGCGTAGTACGAAAGACGTTTCTTTCACCTCTTCTTCTTCTCCTTACTTAAATCTCAAGTTTTATCTTTGATAGAACTCTACTGCTTCTATCTCTGTCTCGAGTTTCTTGTTTTCGACATCTCTCTCACTTTATTCAGAACCAGCGTGTAGTATCTTAGCTTCATTTGTCTGGATTTTGTAGGAATTTTGTGACAATGACTTAAAAACTCTCAGAGCATTTCAAATCTTTGATACGGGATTATGAAATCAGCTTCAGGCGGTATTCTTCGCCCTGGCTGATAAAGTAATGAAGAACCATCATTATCACCCAAGATGGAATAGTGAGAGGAATAATTACGAATTGGATGAGACGAGAAATATTATCCTTGATCTTCACACAGCAGCCTGTAAGTTGGAACACGAAGTCTGAACCCTCGTCCTTTTCTTGAAAGGATCCAACAGTGACGGGCATCTGTCTAGTTTCATAATCTGTATGTGAATGAATTAGTATTAATTTATTTTTATTTATTTTGCCGGTAGTTTACTTCCGAAAAAGCTAACTATACGCTTGATCCTACACCAACACATCTTTTTACGGAAGGGATTCGTGCTTTCAAAGATGTTCGTAAAGCGAAAATTCATAAAATTAGATAAAATTTCTCGTTAATTGTAAAACAATAATGATAGTTACAGTGACCTCGCATAAACGTTGTACACCTACGTTTCACAAAAGCGATTATTTTCTATTTACATGAAAGTTATCTGTAAAGCAAAAATTCGAATTCCATAAAAGCCGAAGAAATTTTTGACTAATTGAGCGACTATTGGTTTCTGGGAGGGGAGACACCTCCACTGGGATGTTTTCAAGAATGGACTATTAGAGTATTTCGTCAACCTAATTAAAAGAGTTCGTATTAATCATCAACTTGTTACAAAATGGCGAGGAAAAAATTTGGAACTCCTAAAAATCAACTAAAAAATCATTAAAGGAAGTCAAGTTTCTTCGGGCTTCACTTTTTGCACGGTATTTTGGAGTCATTAAACTAAAAGTTATGAGAGATGCAGAGTATCTAGCACGCATAGGGGCAGCAAGAAATTCGAGCAATATACTGGCTCAAGACACTTAAGAGAACATAATTTTGAAGGTCTAGATGCGGAATGAATAATACTATTAAAATGAACTTTAGAAAAACAGCTTGTAAGAATATGAACAGATTAAACTGGCACAGCATAATGTCCAAAGAGGTTTTGTAATTATGGTTATGACTCTTCGGATTCCGTAAGAAAAAGGATCTCTATTTCAGAAGAATATATATATATATATATATATATATATGTACCAAAGTAGGAAAAAGATTAATATGCGACAAAGTTTTAGACACATTGTTTGTTGTGCCTCGTGATACAGTTAAATTAAATAATTCGAATTACATTTTAAAGCCAAACTTGTTTATTGTTTGAAGCTTAAATTCAACAGAAAAACTCACAAGTAAGTTGCTTAATAAAATATCTGAGATTCTGCAATTCATTTAGGCTACATCTGACTTATATTTTATCCATCCGGAACTAATTTGGTATTAAGTTTTTTTTTTAGCGAAGGGGGGGGGTGCTCTTTTATCATAAATAATACCATAAAATTTACCAGATATTTAAAAAACATTACCAAATTCCCGCAAGATTTATCTCTGTGCTACTGACACTAAAATATGGATTCAATTTGTTCCAGAATGTGGATCGGTTCAATACACGGTAGAATAAATCGACTTTTCAAATCTAAATGATCAGGAAGGGGGGGTGAACCTGTTACTCCAACATATGTTCCGGTCGTTTCTAGTTTATGGCTAAAACAAGCGAACTGTTCTATTTCCCCGGGTAACGAACCAATAACACACGAACTTTACAACACGTTAGGAAGTACTGAGCTAAATTTTACTGTTCAAATTCTTTACTAACAGACGTTTGGAACTTTGGAGTCTTTTAAATACAAAGTTCAAAACAGAGTTAATTCTGTGGTTTTATAATACAAGGTTAGGTTACAACAGGTTCGGAAAAGGATATTGTTAGAAGGCAAAGAAAGTTGATATGATGTCGAACTCGTAAAATTTACAAAGGAATATTTCATCAACATTTGTAATATTTCAAGAATGTTTCATGCTAATTAAATAGATCTCTCACTTCTTAAATCGATTTGGTTCACATCAACATTAAGCCCACAACATAATTAAAATTTCGTTTCTTCAATGTTCACATAAGTCTTAACTTCCATCGGCAGACTCCTCAATTGGATTGTGATTTATATTTGTAGCGTTTGCATCCGTTTCTTTAGTAACGTAGGTCGAAATATTAACATTTCTAACTGTTTTGGTATTCAGTTACATTATTTTTAATTTATGTTACATGTTACGTCTTATTTATACTATACTATTATTTGTACATATACGTTCATATCTTACTTCAAATTTAATTATTCTAAATGCATTATTTGTTGCACTGATACATTTTCGTAGAATATTTCGTTTCTTCATTCTACCGCTTGTTCTATTATTATTAAAATTTGTTTTATAATTCTTATAATTAAAACTGCTACTAATTATATTCTTGTAAAGCAGAAATTTCTCATTTTTATTCTTTATTCGTGATTCTTGTTACTTATTTTGGTGTTTTGTTGCTATTTCGCTTTTATTCTATCGTAAATTTGATATTCCTGCATGTGTTCAGACAATCTCTGCTGACTTTGAGTTTTTATAATTTAACTTAATTTCTAATTGTTGCAAAACTCATTTCTTTATAATTCTATTTTTGTTTTGATGACATTTATTTTATATTAAGACGTGTGTCACACGTTACTGTTATCAGTGAATTTTATACGTGTGGGTTAAATTCTAGCGTTGTTGTTCCAATTTATAATATTAAGACTTCCTTTATTTCCATTCCCTCATTTACTGACATACATTGACCTAAACTGCGTCGATACTGCGTCTGTATTGCCACGTGTTATAAAGTGTTTTGGTTTGTTTCTGTGCATGTGTTACTGCGTCATGTTTTCCTGATATAATTCTGTACATTTTTTGTCTCTGCCTGATCGATACATGTAAAGTCCAACGTAACCTGCTTGATATCAGTATCATAACACAATGCCACAGGATTGCTCGTTATGTAATATAAATGACTCACTCGTTTCATCGCTCACAAATACACATATTTGTGGGTAAAATGGTGAGCACCAAATACCTTTCCATATAATGACGGAAGCAATTTCTGAAACGTGCCCGATTCGTAACACTGGACGATTAGCAAAGACCATAAATCCAGAAATATTAATTGTTACTTCAGTGAAAGATTTTATATGGAACAGTAATAATTCTAATAAATATATGCTTAAGATTAATAATACAGATTTTTAAATATGTTCTAGTTTTATTTAACATAGATATAAAGTCAATATCACATATAATTTACAAAACTAAAACATTATTTAGTATTGTCCCTAGCCAAAAGGTTATCTTGCTATAGGGTCCATATTTCGTGTACATTACGCGAACTCATAACAGCATAAGTTTTAGTGTTTTAACAAAAACGTTATTTGTGTTCAACGATGTATCTAAATTACAGACATCGCTAGGAACGTTTGGAATTCTGGCGCCCTGGAAGCAAATGTGCCATTAGCAGCCCTCAACAGCTCTAGGTATGTTAAACAGCAGGTACATGACAGTTTCAAATTAGCACTTTGAACTCTAAATTAATGATTAGGTGCATGTAACCTCAGAATAAAAATAAATTTACTCGGAAAAGCTGGTGGTTGTGAGAAGCGAAACTTAACACAGAGAGTTGAAGATGAGTAAGGAACTGACCAACACGCTGTTGTGGTAATTCTGCCAGAATGTTGTTACAGGTTCTTCTAGCCTCGCCACCAAATAACGAAAATTACACATTAGACACGTGGCTCTCAGCAACGAACTTCTGTAACTACACTCCTGGACGCAATGTGGAAGCCGTACGTTTCCAGCAGAACTCAGAAGCAATGCGGAAGAACTGGATATTTCATGGCAAGTTTACTCTCTTTTTTCAGCATACTAAAAATAAATTAGCACATTTCTTCTTTCCACATTCACATGACAATTTTTTCGTCTCAGCATGACATTTGTCAAAAGTTGTGCTGTTATCAGGTTAATGAAATCTAGGAAAATGAAATGGGTGGGGACAGACTGGAGGATAATATTAAAATGGATCTTACAGAACTAGACTGGAGGCTCTGAAATGAATTCAGTGACCACTTTTTGCGATCTGTTGTAGTTTTATAAAAATACATTAAATGACAAGAGTTACGTCACACGCTAATGCACATTGTAGATTTAGTCACGAAACAAATGATAAGAATAAAATCCTAATGACGTAATGAACTCTACGATTGGTAACTTGATGATGCAGATTTAATTATAATACACGGACCTTCAAAATGTAGATTCTAAATCGTTAAGAACTTCCTTAATGCTTAACTGAACAGATTTAATTACAGATACTTCCTTCGAACACTGAAATACGACACAGACCTACAGCATTTTGAATACTCGCCTGTGCTTATTCGGACAAAAACACGGAGTACTTACTTCGTGTGTTTCGTTGGATGAAGTTAATCTTACCACTTGTCAATAAACGGAATCTAAAGCGGGTTATATTTATAGAAAAAGGTATTTAGACACCAGTAAACGATACAACGAAATTGACCACCAAGTGTATCTCAGAATAAATTATAAGAGCTTAAATGGCAGGACCTAGTTTTGAAATCGAATTCGTTTAGTATCAACTTTTCACTATAGCCCAGAGGTTCCCAAACTTTTATACCTTGCGCCCCCTTCCAGAACAAGTGCAAGCAAGCAGATTTGACATAAAATTTAGCTATGAGTATACATTTCTTTTATAATTTAGTATATATTACTCAATGCATTTAATTTAAAAAACTGTAATAAAATATACGCTTCATACCTGGGTTAGTGGGATGCATGTGTTGCTTCTGTGAACATAACTTATCATACCGAAGTTGGAGTTTTGAAATGGCCGCTCTAAGGTCGTTTTCCAGGTTCATCGTAGAACGTTACTTTGTTTTGATGGCTGCCACTGCTAAAAATCCAGTCTCGCACAGGTAGTATGTTGCGAAAGGAAAGAGGATGTTCAGGGCTTTCCTGC